ACTTCCCAGTTTACATTATTCCCATACCAACCAAAGATTTCTTTCAATCCAATGACTCTGGCTCCCCTTTGAGATAACAGCTTATTCAAATAGCATTTTTTCAAACATATTAGTCCCCCTCTCATAGCAGTGGTTCCCAACCTTTCAAGCAGATGGACCCATTTTTAATCTGTTAAAAATTGTACCCCTCGCCCCCAGGGGAGAGGTGGGAATTATGTCCCTTGGCCTGTGCTGCTTCCTCAGCTCCTGCCCCTTCTGTCCTCTGTCCATCCATGGAGGATACGGTGGGAGCACTCTTGTGGCTAAAGGCAGCTTCTGCCCTGGCACTCCACCCTTGGTCAGGTATGGAGCTCTGGGGGAAAAAAAAGAAAAGGAAAAGGAAATATCGGGCCTACCGTGGGATTGGGAGTGGGGAGAGGGCTGGAGCGTAAATGGAAGTGCAGCTGATGGTGAGAGGATGGATGATACCTCCTGGGGTATCAAGAGCCCATTCCGAAGGCGGGAAGCAGAGTGTGTGTGGCTGGTCATGAATAGCGATCCCTGAGCGAGGATCGCCTGGCAGAATGTCTCAGTCTTGTGGTAGGCCCGATCCTTAATTTTTTCCCTTTCCTAAACTTTCCACGGACCCTCTACAGAACTGTAATGGACCTCCAGGGGTCCACAAGTTGGGAACTACTGCCCTATAAGTTAATAGTAGTAGTCCTAAAATTCTGCAACATTTGTATTTTTAGAATTAAAAACAGAATATTTCTATTGACACTCCAATGGCTGATGATTGTAGTATTTTCATTTTGTGGAGTTATGATAGCCACAGGCTATGGAGATAAATATGCTCATGTTTATTGCCTAACCACCAACTCTGCTCAGACAGTGAAGGTTTTTATGGGGTACACTGCAAAGATGTTTCATGTAAGGTGGTCTCTTCTGAGAAAAGGAATCCTCTGCAGTTGTTCTGAAAATGGATGTGTATTCTTGGATTCTGAGATACTTAAGGTCTCAAATTTCACTGGTGCTGGCACTATAAAAAAACAAACCAACACTACTTCTGTTGTGCCTATAAATAACATTTAATGTCCACACTGTGTCCCTACTTTCTCCACACTATAGATTCTGGCTTGGTTCCATGCCTATATAGCTGTGCTAATATTCTGAGATAGCCATGTCACAGATACAAGACTACAATAATCTATACTCTGCCCAGACAGTGGAGTCAATGACTGTCTCCTACCATTTAGGATTATAGCAACTCACATTGCATCCAGGACCTTTTGAATGGACAAAATATGGGTCCCTTGTGTGACTATCTAGAGTATGATTGACTGAATATTATCTGTAGAGTAGCATTACAGATGACAGCTGTGAATAAGGAATGGATCATCATGCACAGGAATAATTCTCCAAAAGGTAATTAGAAGAGAAGAATAACCTCTTCTGACTCCCAATCACTTCCCACCAGGTATCCAAAATACTTTTGGGAAAGGTCATGAGATCAGAGCCTGTCCCTATGTCTTCCCAACAACAGGTGTGTATGGATTACTATAGCTCTAGTGTAACAAACTCCTTGGCCTCTCGGAGAGCAAGGATGTATAGCAGGGGTGGTGTTAAGATTAAAATCCTAAATAGTTAAATGTTCAATTTGTAATGTAATTGTCGAAGCAAAAACACGCTCCTCTGTGTTTAGGCAGCTAACAAACAGCTTTATTAATTAATAAAGCACAGCATGAGCCAAACGTGGTCACAGCAGAGCTGGGCCCAGTAAGGCTGCTAATACAATCAATCCTAGTATCTTTATACCCTTAGCCAAACAGTCTGACGTCAGGGCATCCAATTACAGAAATCCTCAATTAAATTTGGAAAAACAAAGCCTTAGCAACAAGATGGCAGACAGGTTCGAGGGAGTACATCTCCTGTCCCAACCAGCCCAATTAACACATACCAATAGCCCATCCTGTAGGCCTCTTCTCACGGGGTGACAGAAAGTTCACTCTGGTCTACGTGCTTGAGAGAAAAGCTGAAATGGTTTCTGATATACAAGATGGCTTCTAGCTAAATATGAAAATGGTTTCTACAGCTTCTACAACTGTTTGGTTTGTGATGTGCCCCTGTTAAAATCAAAATGGAAGAACAGTCATCCATTTTGTAAATCAAAATGGAAGACAAACCACTTGCTCTGGGACTGCCAGACCATGATTTTCCCGCTTTCTGGCAGAAAGGAGGGAAACAAGTTCCAGTTCAAACTGGTTTTACCTCATAAGTACATCCTACAGGGTATCTCTAGCAGGGATGGACTCTGTAGGGTCTTTCTGGCAGGGGTGGATGCTATGGGGTCTCCCTCACAGGGGTCTCCCATCTCAGAGGGCATAAAAGGCCAATAGCCAGACATTTCAGGGCTGCCCATCCTAGAGGCAGGGTTTTTCTCTACAGGTCATCAGACTCCATAACAAGACAGCTGCTGCAGCCATAGGAAGACCCCATCACCAGGTACCCTGACCTTCAGCGCTGAAGAGGACTACAAGGGCTCTCCGCTGTGCTCCTCTCTCAAAACTCTCGGTGAGCTGAGAGACTGAGGTCCTGAGCAGCCTTCTGGGATCTATCAAGGAGGTTGCTATAAACTTTAGTTATACTTACCGTACAAATGGAACCGATTACTGTACCATTCATTATTTGTTGTTTCTTATTATTACCTACTAAATCCCCTATTTTGTAAATTTACTCTTAATAAATTGGTTATTGTTTGGTTCACATAAACTGTGTCCTTTGATTAATTAAAACACGCCACCAGACGATAGACGCTGGCTGTCACAGGACTCGAACAGAGGGTCTAGTATTATTAGAGGGGACTCCTCTACAGCCTTATCTTTTCTCCCACCTAACAACTGTCGACCAGGGCAGGACCCTGTGATTGGCAGGACTCCTGTGACCAAACTGACAGGTTCTCAGATTGGTTATTTTTTGGTACAGTAGTCAGTAAGGCCAAAAGGCTCTGGGAGTGATTACGGGAAAGGGCCCTGATTGCAAAGCAAAACATAGATACTGTGAGACCCAGGGAGTTTCAAGGCGGATAAAATCTGTATGTAGCTGGAGCCAGTAATGACAACCATTAACCTCATTCTTTTTCACTTTTTGGCCGAGATTCTGTCTCAGAAAGAGACTACTGGGTCTCATGAAGAGACTTGACTGTGGGAGTCTCGTGAGGAGACTATTGTGGGGACGGCATGGCCACCCCAGTGACAGGTGTTTACGGCTACCTGACATATCAGGGCCTAGCCGGAGAAAAATGTCTGTACGTTTTATTTTTCTAGCGGGTAGGGTAAGTCCCTTAGGAAAATTTTATCGATGATGGACCGGTTGTTCTCACTAAAAGGATGGGAAACGGAGTCAAATTATCTCTGGATTCACTGTGAATTTATTTGAGAAAAATCAGAATCCATGGAAGGAGGGTGCAATTTCTGGCACTGATGCCCTACCCACTCCAGACCCTAATTAGCCTGGGGGCAGAGGATTGGAAGGGCCTCTGTGGCCAGGATCAACCTGCTTGGTAGGCTGGATCTGGCCTATGGAGGCCCTTTTGCTTACCCCTGGGGTGCGTCTAGACTGGCAAGATTAAAAACTTGCCAGCTGTCTATACTGGCTGCTTGAATTTGTGCAAGAGCACTGTCTTTGTAATGTACAAAATCAGTGCTTCTTGCGCAAATACTTTCACACTCCTGCTCAGGAAAAAGCCCTCTTGCGCAAGAATACTTGTGCAAGAGGGCCAGTGTAGACAGGGAAGAACTGTTTTGTGCAAAAAAAGCCTCGATGGCTAAAATGGTGATCGGGACTTTCTTGCGCAAAATCACGTCTAGAGTGGCCATGGATGCTTTTGCACAAAAGCACTTTTTGCGCAAAAGCATCCGTACCAATCTAGACGCGCTTCTGCGGAAATACTTTTAACAGAAAAACTTTTCCATTAAAAGTATTTCCGCAAAGTCATGCCAGTCTAGATGCAGCCCTGATGTATAGGGAGCTCATGAATAGAGCCCTGTGCAAATCTATATAGCCACGAGCCATGTCTGAGGATGGGAAGCAGGTACAAATTTTGTATCTTTGAGGGACTCTACTTTTGGTCTGATGAAATGAAAAAGGAAATTGATTTTGAGAACTCATGTTGAGTTTGCAAGGCTGACATAAAAGTTAAGCCCGTGTCAGTCGCTGCAGGATCAGGGCTTCAAAGAGTAATTTTTTAAAAGATCAGCTACTTTTAGCAAATTCACCTAAGATCACAGAGTGAAAAAGAATTATACAGAATAGTTAAGCAAGCTAAAACTAGTTGATTTGAACATACACATTTTACATTCTACTCTGGAAGGCTTTCTGAGAACACTTGAAATATGGGCCAACTCACCCTACTCACCAAGCCCACTGTCCAACTAAGTTAAATTGGCCCCACAAGTGAAAACCTAGATTCAGTACTTCTGTTTTGTGTGCAGAATCTCGGCTTCTCTCCTTTAGCCAGCTAAAGCACTGATCACGCAGCAGCAGCAGCTTTTCACGCAAAGGAATGACAAAACGGGTATGAATCGCTTGTGAGTGAGTAAAGTGACGCTGGCAGAAACAATTCTCTGCACTTGCTCTGAAAAACCACTCACTTGGATTCTCCTCCTCCGGGCTGCGAGGCGCACGGGGCTTGTCCCCGCCCCGACGCGCTGCTGCTGCTGTGGCGGGCAGGCAGGGGCACCACAAAGATGACGGGGGCGTGGGCTCCGGCGGGGCGAGGCCCTTTGCCTCCCCCCGCCCCGCCCCTACTGGAGCAGGCACCGATTCTGATGGCGGGTGGCTGCGGCGGCCGCGTTTGGAGCAGGCAGAACAAAGGGACTCCTGGCCAGCCCCCAAAGGACCCAGCCACCTGGTGCTACTGCGCATGCTCGCATCGCCTCCCGGAGAGTCCTGTCGCTTCGTCACGAGCGGGTGCGGGGAGACGCCCCCTGCCTCAGCTGGGTGGCAAGAGGCAGCTGGCTGGAGGCAGCCTGCTCCAGACGGTGTTTCCCTCTCCTTTCCCCGGGAATGGTACCGCCTGTTCTGAGACGCCTGCAGGGAGAGCGTGCAAACAGAGAGGGGAGGGGAAGAGATAGTTCTCGCGAGAAGTAAGACCGCAGTGTTATTGGTTGGCATGGAAACGGCGGTCCCTGGCTGTGGGCGCAAGTGCGACTGGGCCGGGACCCCGCGCTGAGTCTGTTGTTTCCGAGCCGGTGGGTGCAGGGGCGTGGCCAGGCGCAGTTGGGGAGCCGCGCACGTTGCGGGGCTGACGGTCCTCTCGGCTCTGGTGCCCGCGGCAGGTCTGGGAGCGGAGGTCGGGGGGCTCCTCCCACAACTGCGCTCTCGTTGTGTCCCCTGTAGCGGGCGGGCGGGCAATAGCTTGTAGCAACCGGTGCAGTCTCCAGGGCAGGGGTGGGCAAAAGGGCCTCTGTGGGCCGGATTCGGCCCGCCAAGCGCATTGATCTGGCCCGTGGAAGCCCTGCCGCTTCCTCTGCCTCCGGGCCAATCCACCTGAGGAGGTGGTAGTGGGGGCGGGAAGCGCACAAAGTCTCCTCCCTCCCTGCCCCCAACCTGCAGGAGTGCGCGGGCTGCTGGCAGGGCAGGAGGAGGCTTTGTACGTCTCCCCCGCCCCCCCATTGGCGGGCAGTGCGGGAAGTCTCCTGCGGGACACAGCTCTTCTAAGCCCTGTGCACTCCTTGCAGGAACCACCAGCTGTTCAGAGCAGCTAGTGGTTCTCTCTTGGGGGATGAGAAGGCAAAGACTGCCTGCTTCCCCAGTCCACAGACCAATGGCATGGTGAAGCACTGAAGTGTCCTGGCTCCGCTTCTTCTGCCTGTGTTCCCACCCATTGTGGGATGGCCCAGGGCCACTTCACAAATGTCTGAAGTGCGCCCCCTCCCCCCGCCGCGTCAAAAATGATTGCCCACTCCTGCACCAGGGGGAAGCTAACCAGGGCTGTGCATCCCACAGGGCAGGGGCTTCATGCTGCTGGGCCAGTGGTATGTAGGAAGTTGCTCCCTATCAGACTGAGCTACTTAAGGAGAATTTAGGGGCACTGAGCATGTACCACTGGAGCAGGGGGCTGGGTTTGCACCATCAGGAGTGCAAACCCAGCTCCCTACTCTGGTGGTACATGCTCAGTGCCCCAATGCACTCCTGATGCGCCCACACACAGGCTCAGAGGGTGCTGAAGGGGGCCATCAAAGGCGCTTGGTAGCACCACCACCCACTGCTAGCACTGTGAGGGAAGCATGACAGGGAGCCGAGGTTATAAGAGAGTGACCAATCTTTTATTAGAAATGTAGCCGTGTTAGTCTGGTGTAGCTGAAGCAAAATGCAGGACTATGTAGCACTTTAAAGACTAACAAGATGGTTTATTAGATGATGAGCTTTCGTGGGCTAGACCCACTTCCTCAGATCATTCTGGTGGTGAAAAAGATATGCAGTAGAGCTCTACAGAGCTCTTTTTCATATCTGAGAAAAGTACACAAATACTTTTTTTAAAAATTTTACATTTCCCACACCTGAAGAAGAGTGTTGTGTAGTTCAAGACCTGGTCTCTTGTATTGCCAGGAGCTAGTCCAATAAAATATATTGCCACAGGTGAATTTTATCTCTTACATCTATTAGCATATTTTTCAACAACCCAGAGAAATGTGTAAAATAGATCTTGTGTCATGTGGACTTATCTCAGTTTGGATGAATGGCTTGCACTTAGTCATATATGGAATTTCAGTCATTCTTTCCACATTTCTTGAAAAGGAACACATTTTATTGAAAAATCTTGGCAAAATATGAATTTTAGTGTTAAAAGCTTTCATTTTAGAAGGAGTTTTCTTTCTCTTCCCCCCTTCCTCCTTTGCTCCCCTTTTCCCCATTTGGTAATGGAAAAAGGGAGGAAAGATATTGAAAAATACAAGACCAAATGTTTGTTTTAGTGAAAAGTAGATATTTTTAAAAAATCCCCAACATGGCTATTTCTGGACTAAGTTTGAGAATTTTTTACCATTTCAGAAAAATATCTATAAAGAGTAATACGATATAAATGTTTCTCACATTAACTAGTTCAGGGCAATATATATCAAAGAGTACAGTATAGCCGGTCCCTGAGTTATGAACGCATAGATTTACAACCGTTCATATTTACGATCAACTAGGAAGTTGAAACCCGAGTTACGAACGAAATCTGCATCCTATACAGCCGAAACCCGAGTTACGAACGAAATCTGCACTTACGAACAGCACGGCCGTACATCAGTGAATGTAATCGGAACCGGCTGTAGAAGGAAATTACGTGTGAGAAGTTGCGCAAGTTTATGATGTACTTTTCACCTTTCTGTCTTCCATGCTCACTATCCTGTACTTCAGTGTTAAATTTGACTTTTCTTTTTTTTTCTATGCCCATTCTCTTGCTAAGTCCTATAATTTCTTCTTCTTTTAAAAAACTCCATATTTTTGCAGTAGCTGTGTCTTGTTTGGATTTTCTTTCCATATATTTTGCAAGGCATTTTGGGAGGACAGCATCTGAAGGTTTGGGAAAGTTTACCTGGGCTTGAAGTCTGTGCCATTGCTCATTTTCCCATAAATAATATTAAACAAGCCAAAATATAGGATGGGGAGCCAATTGATTGAATGATCAAAAACTTTGCAAATCGGAATAAATAAGTACTGTAACTTGCTCTTTTCTGTAATACCTGGATTATTTCTGTGCTTGTAAAAAGTTGTGTAAATGTAACATCTTCTATGTATGCTTTTAAATAATAATATTGTGGTACACTTTACACTGAGGTGAAAGTCATATTGTCCAATGCCTTTTGACAGTAATATGCATTTAACATCACTTTACTGGGATATGTCCTGTATATCCACTAAATGCTTCAATCTTGCTAATGAGCCAAGATTTACAATGGTTTATATTGGTATTTCATTTTGATGAGACCATTTTTTGGCCTGTCACTAACCTATTTAAAGTTTGGTTGAGTTTGGGATCCTGTAAAGGCTGCATAATTTCTTAGGGGTAGGACTTCTAGATTATTTGTTATCTAAGCCTTGTGGGTTTTTTTGTTTAATAAATAAGCTATTAAAATGTGATAGCATTTGGTGTTCTCTGTCCCTTTTAGATAAAAATGGATATTACAAGGGGAAATTTGGATGAAATTTCAAGGCCTGCATCTAACTCAAGAATTCATCCTGTAAGCAGAGCTTTAAGTGCATCTTTGGAGGTTCTAACACCAGAGCCGTGCTTGTCAAAGGTAATTATAGGAGCTTTGGCAGATCACAACCTCTTTGCATCTTTTTTTCTCTTATCTATAAATGGAAAAGGATAGACCTTTGTAAAACATTTATAAAGTGCTTTGTGGAAGAAAACTGATATGTAAATGCTAGTGAGTATTATCACAGAAAGAAGATCTAATTTCAAAAATGTGAGTATGCAGGTCAATTCTTTGTATGCATTTAGATAATATCTGCTTGCTTTAATGATTTATACATGTCTTTACTCCTTTCCCTCTCTGTTAGCCTCGATCAGTGGTTCCCAAACTTTTCGGCATAACGCCCCCTTTTTGATTTTTGAGAAACCCTAACTCCCTCCCCCCCATAGCAGCAAAGAGAAAGAAACACAAAAATAGCAGCAAAACTTGGGGGTGGGGGGGCAGGTAGAGCTGGGTAGCCTTGCGCCTCCCCGCCCCCCCGGAAAATTTCTTCACGCCTCCCAGTTTGGGAACCCATGGCCTAGATCATATTCTGTTTTGTGTACCACTAGTCAGATGTTAACTCAATTTTGCCCTCAATTAAACGTTTGCTACCACATTGATAACTGGAGGACTGCACAAATGTAACTTGGGACAGTGATTGTAATGGCTCATAGAGTACCCAGGACTGTGAATCACCTTGTTACCCCCTCCTCCCCAACTCTCCTACCTCCAGTGGGCGGGAAACTTTTTGTATTTAATTGAATATTAGCCTTTTTGCTACCCAAACAAAGTCATCTTGGCTATGACAGCCCTTACTTTGCCTTGCAGATTATAAATAGGTACACCCCAATTCTGAGCCCCTTTTCTGCATTTCCCTAGAGTGTCCAGACCCTTATCCTCTAAACACTCTCAGAAATATGAGATCTACTGGCCCTAAAGAAACAGTTTACACACCATCTTGAATGATTCAATTCAGGATCGGTTCTTTGTGTAATGTCACAGCACTTAAAGATACTGTGACCGTGTGCCCCCGCCCTCCGCCCGTCTCGGGGGGGGGGGGGGGGGGAGGGGGCGGCCTACCTTCCA